GGAGGTTCATTTTCCCTCTTTTGGTAAAGAAATATTTTGTCGAAAAAAATATCTATATCAAATTCGAGATAATGAAACAGTAATAAATATCTATTTTGAAGAATTAACCTAAATAATAGCTCATCCAACCACTTAAACTAAAAATAGCCAGTATAGGTATAATATATGCATAATTTATATATTATATTTGTATAATTACGTATAATTAATATATAAACTATTTATATGGCTAGAAAAATAAATAATGAATATGATCGGCTATTTAGGTAAAGATTCCAAACATTTTCATCCTAGTGTAGGCTTTATGTTGGGCTAAATGACTAAATCCAACGATGGGCTGCGCATAAGCCCATTTCTGCTCTTGCACTAAACTGCTTTTCAAGTGATTAATTATCATTTTGCTGTTTACTATTTTTAAAAAAAAAAAGGAAATTCTACATGCTATAGCTAAATAATGCACCCTATTTATCATAAACCAAAATACTTTAAAAATATTATTATTTATAGCTACTTTTTATATTTTATGCCAAAGTACAAATATATAGAACTTTTCCCTCAATCCTCTCTCTTCTCCCTCAACTCTCTCCATTTTTCCTCTCTCTTCGCCGCCGTCTAGCCGGTCATCTTCTCTGGTGGAGCTCTACCGGATCCCAACCAAACAACCGCCCCTCTCTCTATTCCCTTATTTCATCTCCATCGTCAGATCCAACTGACGAGCGCAAAACGCAACACAAAATTATTGCTCGTTAGTCAAAGATAATATAATTTAATTATCGTCTTCACAAGGATCGAATTTAAATAGTGTTTGAATAATCTTCAGTTGATTACTATCCAGAAAAATTAACACTTGATTTGATGACTATTACTACGATTAACTACTAAAAATTAAGCAATTAACAATTGATCACAAAAGACAGCAGATGAGCAACGACGAAATATCAATGAGAGAAATAAGGGTAATTGACTAGACATATGCAAGATAATTATCTCGGAATCCAATTGTTGAGTTAGTTCACTCTATAATACTGTCTATTCTCATGAATTCAACAGATAATCGGATTACACTTGAAGTTAATGTTCCTCTTTCGATTAAACGTTAATTTCAGTAATTAATCCAATTGAAGCACGACAAACAATAGATACAATAAAATGATGGTTATACTCTAAAGGGTAACTTCTCACGAATATTTTTCTATTTTTTAGTTCGATTAACAATTCAAGAGGCTCCTTCGATTATCTATTTGAATCACAAATTTAAACTAGAGCATAAGATTTAAAGCAATTCAATATCAAGCTCCTCTTTCGATTAAGCAAAATAAGAAATAACTCCACAATATGAATTAAAACTCCATCAATTAATTCCAACAATTATCAAGAATCGAATGCCTAATCAAGTTATCAAAATACCGTATCAGTCAATACCCTAATGAAATTTACTCCATAACAATGAAAAAAGTCATCTCAATGAGGTTTTAAAACATAGAAGACATCAATGATAATGATTTGATACAAACTCCCGTATTGCACCGATCGTTGGTTGAAATCATGATGAATTCTTGTGTCTTTTTGCCTTGGTTGGTTCTCAAATCTTTCGTAGGTCAAAAGTCCCTTCAAAAATATATTTTGGTGTATTTATACCCTGTAGGAACGGGCCCGGATGAAACTACCATTTCCTAGCCGAAACAGGAAATAACTCTGACAAAATTATACACCCGCATCGCGCCATGCGGCACGCTTGTGAGGATATTCAGACAACATACAAAACGCCTGTCAGACCCAGTTTACACTGCCATGCCGCGCCCCATGCGGCGCAGCTGTGTTTTTTCTCAAAGTAAATTGTTTCATCCACTTTTTGACATTCAGACTTGGTCCTCGACCCCCGAACGTGATCCCGGCTTAATTTTTTTGGCTTCTACTCAGACTTCAAAGCTCCAACTTATTCCATTTAGCTCCAACTTGTTCCATTTAGCTCCAAATTACCTTAATAGCTCGAGATCATTTCCTGCAAGGCATAAAATATGTAATAAGTGTAATTCACTATCATTAAAGCTCAAACACACATAAAATACAGTAATTAGAATGCAATACTATGGCTAAAATACGGGTTTCTAGCCTAACATCAACACCCTACACTTAGACTATTGCTCGTCCTCGAGCAATCAAGCTACACTTCACAGGACGACATTTTTATTAAACAACTTCCCTAACACATCATGCCAAGAATATTTAAAATAGACTAAGTACCATGTCATAACATCCTAGCCTCAAGACACGACTCAAAGGCACCAATTATTTTTCACAACCTGATCACTTACTCTAACACAGAGGTCAAAGACTTTACCTCACATTCGTAAATCATGTGCTCTCACACAAATAATAGAGAGTAGTTCCACACACAATAAAATTCAAGAACAAATAGGAACTCAAGATAGAAAGAATTCACTCACTCTCAGAAATAAAATTCATGCGCCACAGAGAATGTACCATAGGCTTGCCCGTAGTGTAATACTCTACTAATTGAGCTCATTCAGTGAAGGATCAAGTAGGACTTTATTTTGATTGTAATGTAGGCTGCAGGACGGGTAGGATATCTATGGATATAGTGACTATACCTCCTTAAGCACTTTAATACATATATATTAACAATTTAAACCCCACACTTGTGTTGAACCAAATCCCCCAACTTCCATTAATGATCGTGAATTACACTTATAAAATAAGGCATGCAGCATGATCCAGCAGAAGCTCGATTCGTGAGGCTATAAAAGAAGGCATGCAGCATGATCCAACAACCAAACAACTTATCGAGTTAGCCAACCAGGGCAATACGAGACATTTTTGGGTCGAAGACGGCCTACTGCTTACCACAGGTCGAACACAAGTAGCCACAATATTACAATAAAAAGCAAGACCAAACGGGGTAACCATCCCACACTTATGTTATTGGCATGTTCACACGTACAATATATATCGAGGACTCAGACTATCCGATTGAAAGCATGCCACAAGTAAGCAACAACCCACCCAACCACCAACATAATATTACAACAACATAACCACAGACTATACTAGTGTAAAATATAAAATCAAGAAGCTACACTAGTAATTAAGAGAAGAAACATAAGAAACTCTACTAATTTACTACTAACAAAATTAAGAAGTTACAATACAACACTACACAATTATTTAACATAAATCGGACATCCCAATTAGCACCTAGCAACATATTAACATGGGTGGTCAATCGATTAGCACTCGGGGCTAACACGTTAAAGTTTCACAACATAAGAACATAACCTCCCACCCCACACTTATCATCTAGCAATCCATCCCACAAAGCACTTCCCTTCTAAATGAGCAACACTACACAATTTTATGTCACTAAGGCATTTCAACAAATACATTGTGGAAAAATCTTTTACCATCTTATTTCAATACAAAGTGGGTTAGAACCACCATACAACCACATCAAACACATCACTCACCATAACCACAACATCCCCACATCTTCATAATAGCCCAAAGTGCACAAATTTGACACAAAAATTACCAATTTTCGGCCATATAGGCACCTCCACCAAACTCCATCACAAAATAATGCAATAATCACCAATACACACCAAAAATCCTCCACAAGTATAAGAACAATGAAAACCCCACAAGTTAAGCACAATTTTCGTCCATTATAAGCAAAGTAACTCAAAAATTATTAAAACTACAACTACCTAGTGTTACGTTGAATTAAACTAAAACTGCCTAAATACTACAATTAGATACTAGAAGAAAGAGAATAGATGAGAGGAGAACTTACCTTGAAGGTGGATGGGAGTGATAGGAGGTGGGTGAGGAAGAAATTGGAGAAGAAGAAGAAGAAGAAGAAGAATGGGGGATTTGGTGGAGAGTTGGAGAGGAGTATTTGAGAAGAGAGTAATTGGAGAGGAGTAGAAACGGGGGTGGGGTTTGTTTTTAGGCAGAGGGCGGGTGATATTGTTTTTGATTTTTCAGTTTTTTTTAAATATTTGGCCGAAAACTTTGCACAGCTGTGTCGCTGGGCGTGGCAGTGGAGAAGTTCAGAGGCTTGAATTCTGACAGATGCACCCCGTTTTCTCAAAGTTCCAATTTTTTTTTTCACGTTTTAGCCTACGGTTTGCACCCCAACTCTATTGCGTACTTATTTTGTGTCCAATTCATGCTCATACATGTTCAAACAATTATCAAAACTCCTAAACTCTAATAATCCTACACTACAATTATCTAACCATTCTACAAAAGCAAGAAAAAGGGTTAGAAGTAGTTTTGAGTTATAGTCGTTGGCTTGACTTCGTCACTTAGGCTCATTTGATCACGATGCTAGAGGATTGCTTGTCAAATCCTCCACCAAGGTTCGTTTTCAACCTGTGCCCATTCACCTTAATGCTTTCATTCCCATCTTCATCCCGTATTTCAATAGCGCCATACGGTGAGACGTGTTTCACAACATACGGACCTATCCATTTTGACTTGAATTTTTTGGGGAACAACCTAAGTATATTATTGTATAGTAAGACTCTGTCCCCTTCATGAAACTCCTTTGGCTTAATCAGATGATCATGCCACCTCTTTGTCTTTTCCTTAAAAATTCGCGCATTTGCATACGCGTCCAGTCTAAACTCCTTTAATTCATTCATGTGCGCCAACCTGTGTTCACTTGCAAGACTAAGATCAATATTAAGCATCTTAATTGCCCAATAAGCTTTATGTTCAATCTCAACAGGTAGGTGACATGATTTTCCATACAATAATTTGAATGGTGAAGTCCTTATGGTCGTTTTGAACGCAGTTTTGTACGCCCATATAACTGCATCCAACTTTACAAACCAGTTCTTAAAAGAAGCACTAACCATCTTTTGAAGAATTTATCTAAGTTCACGGTTATCCACTTCAACTTGCCCACTCATTTGGGCATGGTACGGGGTTCCTATTTTGTGTGTGACCCCATACTTAAACAGCAATGCAGTAAACTGCTTATTCACAAAGCAACCCATTATCACTAATAATCACTCGAGGTGTCCCAAAGCGGGTAAAGATGTTCTTCCGTAAGTACTCACACACCACCCGAGCATCATTTGTCCTATTAGGGATTGCTTCGACCCATTTAGAGATATAGTCAACGGCTACTAGGATATACTCATAAGAATGAGACGATGGGAACGAGCCCAGGAAGTCAATGCCCCAAACGTCAAAATTTCACATACCAGAATGGAGTTGAGAGGCATTTCATACCTCTTGCTAATATTACCTGCCATTTAACACTTGTCAGATGCAGTAACATACGCCCGTGCGTCTTTGTACAAAGTAGGCCAATAGAAATCGGTTCTATGACCTTTGTTGCAGTGCGATTTCCACCATATTATCCTCCAGCTGCTCTATCATGGCAATGAGACAAAATTCTTGTCATCTCTCCTTCAGGCACACATCTTCGAATCACACTATATGCATACAATTTAAACAAGAAAGGGTCATCAGCATACCAAGGCGGCCTTTCGGAGACCACTGCAATGAAGAAAATCTGCTCATCAGGGAACTCTTCCCTTATTTCAATTATTTCAACCAGAGGTCTCTCAAGTAAAGATAGATGATCTGCGACTTGATTTTTTGTGCCCTTCTTATCTTTGATCTCCAAGTCAAACTCTTGGAGCAATAGCACCCACCGCATCAGACGCGGCTTGGACTCCTTCTTACTAAACAAGTATTTTAAGGCTGAGTGATCAGTGTGTACAATCACTTTACTCCCCACCAGATATGATCTAAAATTGACAAAAGAAAAGATCACAACAAAGAACTCTTTTTCAGAAGTGGCATAGTTGACTTAAGCATTATTCAATGTCATACTTGCATAGTAGATGGGCTTAAACATCTTATCTTTTCTTTTTCCCAGAACTGCCCCCACAACTACATCACTAGCATCACACATTATCTTAATTGGCTGGCTCCAATCAGGTGTCACCATAATATGAGCACTCACAAGCTCTTCCTTTATCAATTCGAATGCTCTTAAGTACTCCACAGTGAAAACAAACTTAACATCCTTTGCTAGCAATGCAGTCAACGGCGTGGTAATGCTGAAAAAGTTTTTGATAAACCTCCTATAGAACCCAACATGTCCCAAGAAACTCCTTATGCTCTTTACAGAAGTCGGTAGAGGGAGCCTAGCAATTACATCAACCTTAGCTCTATCAATTTCAATGCCATGTGTAGTCACTTTGTGGCCTAGGACAATTCCATCTTTCACCATGAAATGACACTTCTCCCAGTTAACAACCAAGTGAGTGGATTCACAACGTTCAAGCACAAGCTCCAAATTCTTCAAGCAATCCTCAAAGTCATCACCAAAGAGGGTGAAATCATCCATGAATACCTCTAGACACTTCCCGTTTAGATCAGAGAATATATACACCATGCACCTCTGAAAAGTGGCAGGTGCATTACATAACCCAAATGACATCCTCCTGTAAGCAAACATACCTGACGGGCAAATGAATATGGTCTTCTCAACATCTTCTAGGGCAATGGTATCTGATTTTAGCCTGAGTACCCATCCAAGAAATAATAGCATCCATGTCCAACCACTTTCTCGAGTATTTGATCAATAAAGGGAAGTAGGAAGTGGTCTTTCCTTGTTGCATCATTCAGCCTTCTAATCAATGCACATTCTCCACCCAGTGACTATTCTTGTGGGGGGTCAATTCATCGTCTTCATTCCTTACCACTGTCATGCCCCCTTCTTAGGTACAACTTGCACTGGACTAATCTATTGGCTATCAGAGATGGGGAAAACCACTCTCGCATCTAGCAATTTGATGATCTCTTTGCGCACTACCTCCTTCAAATTTTTGTTCAACTTGCATTGGGGATGTACCACTGGCTTGCTATTTTCTTCCAGCAGAATTTTGTGCATGCAAATGGCTGGACTGATTTCTTGAATATCATCTATACTCTAGTCAATGGCCTTCTTGTACCTTTTCAGCAGCTCCACAATCTTTTGCTCCTGTGTACCTGTCAAGTAAGCAGAAATAATCATAAGAAAATTCTTAGTTTCAAGAAAAGCATATTTCAAGTGAGTAGGGAGGACTTTCAATTCCACACTAGGCTTAGAAGCCTCCTCTTTTAGTTCCTCCTCATCAACCACTTGATCTCCAGTTTCAAGAGCTTCAGCCTCTTTCTTTATCTCAGAATATTCATCCTCAACTATGCTAGACTGAGTAATACACCTCTCTAGAGTATCCCCACAAGCTTGTCAAATTTGTATTTTTGCCAATTCCCCAACAACATCTAGCTTGAAGCACGAGTAGGCAGATGCCTCATCGCTGGGGTATTTCATCATCCTCTTCACCTGGAACACCACTATCTCATTGCCCACTCTGCGCATAATCTGCCCCTCGTAGATATCAAGGATAACTCAGCCTGTACATAAAAATGACCTCCCTAGAATTAGAGGCACCTCCTTGTTCACCTTCAAATCCACCACAATAAAGTCTACGGGGAATACAAACTTATCCACCCAAACTAGAATATCCTCAATGATTTCCTCAAGCAAAATGGTGGTCTGGTCAGCCAGTAGTAGAAACATTGGTATTGATTTGATCACTCTAAGCTCCCTTCTAGTTTCTTGAAAACGGACAAAGGCATTAGATTTATAGATGCACCAGAATCACAGAGGGCCTTGTCAAATTTCTCACTCCCCAACGAGCATGGTATGGCGAAACTTCTTGGGTTTCCACACTTTTTGTCACGATCCAAAATCCCAACCTGTCGTGATGGCGCCTATTTCAATACTAGGCAAGCCGGTAATCTCGATAAACCACAATCTCTCTTAAGTTTGAAAATACAATAATTTAATACAATACAAAATCCCATAAATACTGACACGAACACTCCCCAAAACCTGGTGTCACTGAGTACATGAGCATCTAATATGAATACAAGTCTGGAAAATACGGTCTATAATAGTCTGAGACCAAATACAGTAAACAAGGAGATAGAGAAGGAGAGACAAGGTCTGCGAAACACGACAACTACCTCAAAATCTCCTGAAAATCAGCTGTATGGAAGAATCAACACCCGCTATGTCCGGGAACACCTGAATCTGCACACGAAGTGCAAGGTGTAGTATGAGTACAACTAACTCAGTAAGTAACAATAATAAATAAAGAAATGAAGATAGTGACGAGCTACGCAACTACAATTCATATTCAGTAGTTCCAACAAAGAATAAAAATGCTTTCAAATATGACAGTTTAATGTCAAATCAATTTTTATACAATTCATGTTTATGTAATCCGTATATAAAATCTTTCAGAGATTTCACAACAATGACAGATAGCAACTAGGTGCAACAACAAACGGAAATCAAGTACAACCTCTCGGGACAACAATCACTCACTCGGCTCCCAACCCTCATCACTCATTGGGCTCACAGCCTCATCACTCACACTCAATGGGTACCCGTGCTCACTAGGGGTGTACAGACTCCGGGGGGGCTCCTACAACCCAAGCGTTATAATCTGCACGGACAACTCACGTGCTGCACGGACAACTCACGTGCCATAATATAAATATCTGGATCTGCACGGCCAACTCACGTGCTGCATGGCCAACTCACGTGCTATAGTATAATATAAGGATCTGCACGGCCAACTCAAGTGTTGCACAGCCAGCTCACGTGCTATAGTATAATATAAGGATCTGCACGGCCAACTCACGTGCTACACGGACAACTCACGTGCTATAGTATCAATATCTCACAATAAGGCCCTCGGCCTCACTCAGTAATAAATTTCTCCAGTCTCTCGGGCTCTCAATAATCATGAAATCAGCCCAAACAACAATGATATGATGTATCAATAATAATAACAGAGACTGAGATAAAATATGTAAGTAAAAACTGAGACCGAGTATATATAGCATTTAGCAAGCAATTCAACAAGTACGCGACCTCTGTGGGTCCCAACAGTACTATTACATAGCCTAAGCATGATTTCTAACATGATTTACAGTCAAATTTTATCAACACATAGAGAGCATATAGCTAACAATAAATTATTCAACTTTATAGTTCCCGGGACGGACCAAGTCAAAATCCCCTCGGTGCACGCCCACACGCCCGACACCTAGCATGTGCGTCACCTTCAAAATAATCACATGATACCAAACTCCGGGGTTTCATACCCTCAGGACCAGATTTATAACTGTTACTTACCTCAGAGCGTGAAATGTTTTACTCTGCTATGCCTTTTCCTCGCAAATCGGCCTACGAATGCCTCGAATCTAGTCACAAATAATTTCTTTCAGTCAATAAAATTTATTGCAATTAACTCCATAAGAAAATGCTAATTTTTCATAAAAGTCCGAATTTTAGCTAAAAAATTGCATGTGGGGCTCACGTCTAGGAACTCGATAAAAGTTACAAAATCCGGAAGCTCATTCAACCACGAGTCTAACCATACCAATTTTAATAAAATCTGACCCCAACTCGACCCTCAAATCTTCAATTTAAACTAAGAGGGTTTTCAAACTTTTCCAACTTAATTCACCAATTAAATGATAAAAATAATCATGGATTCGGGTAATTTAGCCAATATTGAATTAAGAACACTTATCCCGTCGTTTTCCTTGAAAAACTCCTGAAAATCGCCTCTTCCCGAGCTTAAATCCCCCCAAAACTGCCATTTTCAGAACTTAAACTCGCTGTCCAGACCTCTCTTCTTCGCGAACGCGACATGTCCCTCGCGTTCGCGAAGCACAACTCGACTGCCCGCAAATTTAACCCTTCGCGAACGCAACCGTGTCTTCGCGAACGGGAGGCTTTGCAAATCTTACCCTTCGCAAACGCGACCACGACTTC